GGAGCGCATCTCCAAGACACCTGTACTTGGGGGGCCCAAACTCACCGATTCGCTGGGGTGACGGAGGGTTGTTTTCCAGGTTCTCCGAGCATTGACCAGGGTGGGATGCTCCTAACAGTATTTTCACAACCCTGCCTGCAGTGTCACCTTTTTCACACCAGTCATTTACTGCGCTTAACCACAGCTCCCTGAGCTCTGCTCTGCATTTACCATGGTACACAACAGTAAACTTCCAGAAAAGACGGCTGGCCCTGACTGCTGTTTCAGGTAGTGTCAAAGGTCACTAAGAGGTCAGAGGCTTTAACTTCCTTAACCTTGCTGGTGACATCATTGACTTAGGTCCCTGTTCGCTTCTTTGGTTGCTGTTGTGCTGGGGTACTTGTCCTGGACCAATCTCTTCCGTGTTCCAGGATATTTAAAAGTGAAAGTGAAAGGTCGTGCGAATGATTCTGTCTCTCCGTCTCTCTCCTCGCCTCTCGAAACGCCTGGCCCACCCCTGTCCTCAGCTAGATGTCTTAGGAAGGCCAGGTCCATTCTCAAGGACCCCAGTCATCCCAGTCACAAACTCTTTTCCCTCCTACTGTCCGGTAAACAGTAACCGAAGCATTCGGTCCAAATCCAACAGACTGTGGAACAGCTTCTACCTCCAGGCAGTAAGACTGCTAAACGGCCAACCTGCAGCTCCTTCAGCACATCACCTGTAATGGCTACATGGACACACAGTCTTCACTGTATTCAGCATAACTGCACTACTTGTATATACTGCACACACCATGGACACAGCAGCTCTACTCATATTGAGTTTGATTCCATTTCTATGACATCTATTACTAAGTAACCTTATTTTCATAGCCTCAGTTTTGTGATTTTTGTGAGCTCGCAGAAAAGACATTTCATTGCCGGCAACTACTGCTGCACGCCGCATTGTTGTGCGTTTGAGAAATGAAATGAAATTTGATTCTGATTTTGATTTGTCCGCCCTCGGCCCACAGCTGGACAGCGCCGTCGGATCCGGAGCTGGGGGCTGAGCCGGGACCCCCACCCCCCCCCTAGCGTGGGCAGCTGTGACGCCAGGTCGTCAGGGGCGCCAGGGGGGAGGAGAGGAGCCAGGAAGGAAGGAGCCAGCTGGACCGGGAGCTGTGGGATGTGCGATCTTTGTCATTGGGAACAGAGAGCTGGAACAGCGCTGGCATCGAATGGGAATAATCAACAGCTGAGCCAGGACATGTGGCGTTGAGGCTCCATCACTGCAGCTGACGCAGTGAGTATCCGTGAGGGGGGTTCTGAGCTTTCGATTAAGAGTTAACCTCGCCGAGCCCGTCCCTGGGGAGAGCAGGTCATGTGTATTAGGGCCCTGCAGCCCCGTGGTGTGATCAGGAAGAAACGCACCCGACGGATGCAGGTGGCAGAAGAGGCAGGAGAGGGGTGAATCGATATCGGCCCTGCTCCCCTGTCCCAGCAGTCAATACAGCTTGGGCTCTCATTGACCTGGACTCCGCAGTGATCCGGCTTAATTGGACATCAGTGTTCCATTCCAAACGCCTTATAACCAGCTCCGTCGCATGGGCTCCTCGGATCTCAGACATCGAGATCATCTGAAAGGCACGAAACCGCCCGGTTTGTGCCCGATGTGTAAACTTGAAAATTAACCTCCAGGCATTAGGACCCACACAGACCGCAGGGTGAGCGCCCCCTGCTGGCCCCACTAACACCTCTTGCAGCAGCCACCTTAGTTTTTCCCAGGAGGTCTCCCATCCAGGTACTGGCCAGGCTCACACCTGCTGAGCTCCAGGGGGTTGCCAGTTGTGAGTTGCAGGGTGATATGGCCAGCGGCATCTCACAACTGAAGGTTGTAACCCCCTGAAGGTCATCATTTCATGCCTGTGTTTCTCAGAAGCGTGTCTAAAATATTCTGCCTCTGAGGCCCGCAGCACAGTCCTCTCCAACACGCACTCCAGAGTGATCACCGGTGTTACAGGAATACCAGCAGTCGGAAAACGGCGCCCCCTAGGGTCAGGCTGGTGAAAAGGTTATTGCACGTTGTGTCGCTGGACGTTGGACCGGAGGGAAAGATGGAGGAGGAGGGAACTCGGCTGAACTGGCAGCCCAGTATGTGATCTCCTGTCACAGCCTGAGGAACACTCAGCCTGTCTCCCAGTCATTCTCCATACGTCTATATGGAAATATCTATATAATTGCGTCTTTATTGTTAATGTCTGTAGAATGTTTTCCGTGTTCATTGTATCTGTTTTGCTTTGGCACCACTGATTGTACTCGTCGGCCATCCCAGTAAAGCACCTTGAAGTGCAGTGAATTGAATCGGGTTCCATTCCCGAGGTGCTGTCTGTGTGGAGTTTGCATGTTCTCTCTGTGTTCGCTTGGGTTTCCACCCGGTGAGCTGCTTTCCTCCCACAGTCCAAAGCCCTACTGGTAGTGAAATAACTGGTTTCTGGGATTTCTGGCCGTGATATGAGTGTTTGTGTCTCCGTGTGTGCCCAGCAGCGGACAGGTGTCTCGCCCAGGCTGTCCACCCTGCCTTGTGCCCGTTGTTTTCCAGGCAAGGCTTGTGCTGTCCCAGCCCCTGAACTGGACGAAGTGGGTAGGAAATTGGACAAATGGAAACGCGGATAGGCCTGTATCAGCGGTACACTCCACCCCTTGGCAGCATAAAAACGTGGCATCATTTCTGAGGAGTACTACCCACTACAGCTCTGCTGATTTAAAGCAACGTTTTAAGGCAGAGACGGCACTGTTGTCCTGCTTTTATATTTACACAGTGCGCAAATAGGATCCGGTGTGATTGTGTGTAACCAGCCCCTGGTACTCGAACAGCTGAGGGAGCTCTTGTTCCTGCTGAGGCAAAGACACGTGACCACAGGCCCCTGCAGGCCCGGGTCAGCGAGACACGCCCCCCGGCCCGCGGCGGTGTTATGACACACGGCTCCCTGGAGGGGGAGCCCCTGAGCTCGGCCCTCGCCGCGGCCGGGCTACGAGGCCGCCCGGCCCAGCCCGACCGACAGCCTCTCAGCCGGCTGCCGCACACCAGACCCATCTGCGCCAAAACACCGGTGCGTAGCCTAAATATCGGCGAGAAAGAAACCCTACAGTAGCACACTATGGACGCAGCTTTCTCGGATAACCCGCCGTTCTGCTCATTCGCAGTTCAAAGTTTTTTTAAGTTTCATGGTGTTTCTTTGGGGGGAGAGGAGGGCGGCGAGTAACGCTAATGTCGCTCAGACTCCCAGCAGGTCAGGGCGCTGCTGTGTGGAGGCGGGGGAGTCTGGAGTAAATATCGGAGAGCTGCGTTGTTTTGGGGCAGGCGGAGCAGTGCGGGACTTCATCCCTGACGAGCGACGCTCTTGTCAACAGGACACGGTGTGGGCTCGGGGGTATTAAGGACTGCGTTCCGTTATCTGATTCGCGCATGAGAGCAGATCACCCATTCCTTCGTCGGTCTTCGTACACACATATCCACGTCTCCCCAAAGGCTATACGAGTATAAAAGTCTCTGTGCATTTGCTCAAGCTGAAATGTTCATCTCTCTCCTGCTCTGCGCTTCTGCACTTGAAATAATGTGCGAATGCGACGCAGGAGCCACGAGCGCGCGAGAGAAGAGATATTCGGGGACCCGGCTGGCGGGGGCCGAGAGCGCCCCGAGGCGCCGCCGGTAACCGGGCGGTCGCGGCAGCGGGGGGGACCCGAGCCGGGCGTCCCTGTCACTGCCTCAGCCTCGGAGCGCAGGTCGCAAGCGCACCACAGCGGCGGCAGCCCGGCTGCTGCGTTATCCCGCTGAAATCCATAATTTCATCAGTGACCTACATTCAGGCGATCGCGCTGGAGTGAATGAAACACTAAACCGCTTTCAGGTGGCTTTTACACTTTTCTAAGCAAAACCCCAGCAATGCAGTGTTGATGTGATTTTCACATTTCACAGTACACCCCAAACACTACAAGCAAAGACAAAAGTATAACTGGAATGCTTGCGGTTATTTAGCAATCATACTACAAACTGGGGCAGATGAGGCGAGAATTTGTATCTGAAATGTTCTGACCAAGCCTTATGTCAACACGGGAGCGTAGTCCGAGGAGATTAAACGCATCATCCTTCTTCCAGTCTGACACCTGGAAACAGGTGCATCAGTTGTGAGCGGGTATAAACACCAGCCTCCCGTCCGTCCCCAACTCCTACATCTTGTAGTGGACTGCGCCACCAGTCCCAGCTCCACTAGTCCCTACTACACCAATCCCAGCTCCACCAGTCCCTACTACACCAGTCCCAGCTCCACCAGTCCCAGCTCCACTAGTCCCTACTACACCAGTCCCAGCTCCACTAGTCCCTACTCCATCAGTCCCAGCTCCACCAGTCCCTACTACACCAGTCCCAACTCACCAGTCCCAGCTCCACTAGTCCCTACTCCACCAGTCCCAGCTCCACCAGTCCCTACTCCACCAGTCCCAGCTCCACCAGTCCCTACTCCACCAGTCCCAGCTCCACCAGTCCAAGCCCTGCTTCCCTCCTGGGCACCGGTGGGAACACGCACGGGGTTTCACCACCTCCCCGGTCGACGCTCCGTGCCCGCCGGGCTCCTCACCCTGGACACGACTCCACGGCCCCTCGCGGACCCCGCGGGCTACTGTCCGACACAACAGAGGCCAAACAAGCTCTCAAACTGCAGTGCGGCACCGCTGTCTCGATTTAAGAACAACATAACGCGAGGAGGATAAATATTTCATGTGCTCCATAAAGCGTGAAGAGGCAGCCGCTCTGCCCCCAGCCTGCTGCGCCCGAACAGCCTGGACCCGTCTCGCACCAGGCTGCGTGCCGACGCCGGGCGAATCGAGCCCGGACTGCCGAACCGCGTTCACAAGATCGCCATCTCTGCTAGCGCAGGTAGCCCGCCAGGTAGCACCGCTCACTCCTGCAGCTCAGTAAACCCACCGGCCAGCGGAAGCAACACCAACAGCCACGGCAACAAAGTTTTTTTTTTTCTCTCACTTACCCCGTTTGAACATGTTGGAGATTTGCTTGGTTTCGCGCGGAGACACGCTCGTCCGACCCAATATTCCAGACTGGCCGGGCCCGTGGTTTGTTTTGGGGGTGTTTTGTTGTTGTTGTTGTTTGTTGTTTTTTGGAGGGGCGGGTCTGGGGCGAGTTTTCCCTGGAGTCGCTTCTTCTCTGTTTTCGGAATGTTTCTCAGCCGCCTCTCCCAGTCACAGTACAATCCCCTGAGGTCCCGGGCCGAAACCGAAGAGGGTCGTGTCCCAGCAACCCGACAGCGCAGGAGGGCAGACGAGGGGGGCTTTCTTCGGCATGCTCACGGCTGGTGCGCCTCCTCGCTCGCGGGAGAGATTCTGCCTTCAGAAAACGGCAACAGCAACAAGACCGACACTGGCTGACAAACGGGCTTCTGACTTCGCCACAGATAAGACCCTCATCCCCTCCTCCGGCTTCCCGTCCCGCCTCCCAGAACAGAGGAGGCTCTCTGTTTGTGCCTGAACGACAGTCTCGCACACCACCCCAGAAATGTTCGCCAGCGGAGCCCCCCGTGAGTCCAGCCGGCGAGCCGGGTCGCGCCGCGCAAGAAGTTGCAACACGAGGCCCGAAACGAAACGCTGAAGGAGTCCGAAACCCCTCGCCTACGAGCGACGGGGTGCCGCCGTCCGTCTCCCGCCCGTCGGTCCTTCGGGCGGGTAGATCGCCGAAGCGGTTGATAAGCAGAAGCAGATAAAACCGCGGACGCGGCGGCCGTGTGCTCCGCCGACAGGTGAACTCCGTCTCCTCGCCGAGACTTCAGGCTCCTGCTCACAGCGCGCCGCCCCGCGCTTGTGCGCTCCGGCGCGGGAGGACCGGAGCCTCTGTCTCACTCGCGGACCCCGCGCGTCGCTGGCGGGTTGGGCTGCACCTGGGCGCCCGTCCGCTCCCTCCGCTCGCCGCCGGCCGCGGGCTGACCGCCGCCGGGTCCCGGGGTCCGCAGGTGCGCGTGTGTGCCGCCCGCTCGCAGTGCTCCCAGCCCTGGGTTGGGATAAAAGCGGCAACTGTCCTCCTTCTCATCAATAAATCAGCTTAGTCCGGACGAGGCGCCGGTTTCCCACTGTCATTTACCCTCAAATAAACAACAGCGAGAAAGCGAACGGAGTCCCGACGAGCCCTACGCTGCCCCGTGGCACGAGTGTCCTCTCCTCGTGTTGTTATTTCCGTCTCTTAATTAGCCAGGACGAGTAATTAACGGCGGGAGACGGCACCTCGCAGTCTCGCAGGCAGTCGAAGCGCAAAAGGCTCCCGCTCGCTGCAAACCGCTCTCTCCTGCAACACAACGCCTCCTATATTTAAAATTTATGAAAACGCGTTTTGCTTTCAGTTGAGTTCAAAAATACCAACCAATTCCCTCGGCGACCTGCGCTCCGACATGTGACGCGCTCTCCGAAGGTGTTTATACTCTCCCTCCCTGTCAGATTACAGCGCACGCGAAAGCGGCACGCAGGATGCTGTTTTGTGTAGGGTGGGGGGGGTAGGGCTTTCTTTATTAATCCAAAGAAGATTTTAGCGTTTTATCCCGGACATTAGCGGGAGATAGCAGCTCGGCGCAGCTGGGAGAGATGACAGATTGTTCAAATAACGCCCAGCCCTCTCAAAGGGAGAACTCGCTGATAATTCTGACCGTCAAGAGAGAGTGGGCTTGGCGGAATAATTCGATCAAACACTGGTGTATAACTTTCCGATTGAAGCGGTTCTTGATATACTATCTGCCTACAAAATGCTGAGATTTAATTACCAGTCCAGCAACACGACGCCTCGTACGGGGAGATGAACTGTACTTTCGGGCCGGTTTCCTACAACATTTCGGGCTGAATGAGACGCTTTCTGGTGCTTGATTATGTGCCACGCCGGCGTGTAATCTGGGTCGCCCGCGGAGAAGGTTTAGGCTGGGTTTTAGGCAGGCAGGTATTTTGTGTGATGACAGGGACGCAATATAGCATTTTGTCCTCCGTCCTGTGACGTTACACCGCGCCTTCCTTTATTTAAAGAATTTGGTTCATCCAAACTTTTTTTGTGGGGGTTAAATGACAGTAATTCCGGCAAATTGTAATATACAGTAGTAACACCTTGTTGCAGCCCCTGGTGACGACTGTCCGCGCTCGCGGGGTGCTGACGCGGGCAGGAGGATTCAGCACCGCGGACAGCTCGCGCCGGCCCGTCCCCTGCCGCGCGGCCGCGCCATCACGTGGGCTTGCGGCCCTCCCGGATCAGGAACCCGCCCCGCGATTCCGGTTCGGCCGAATCGCGCTTAAAACCTCCACACCAGCAGGGAGGCGGGGAAGCGTGTTCCTTTTGAGGGTGAAGACGGGAAGGAGTGGGCTTTGAAAGAAACCACGACTTTGCTGAAGGAAGTGACGCGTCTTAATAATTAATAACAATAATTGCTTACACTTATATAGCGCTTTTCTGGACACTCCACTCAACGCGCTCAAAGTGTTCTCCTGTAAGCCTACTGGCCATCTCCTTCAGGGACGGTGTCTGCTCTTGTGTTGATTATGAGGGCATCACGCTAGGTGTGCTGTTATAGGTCTGCCCCCAAGCCTCAACACTGTGCCTCAACACTGTGGAGATTGTAATTCCAGATCTCCTGGCACTGACACACTGCGGATATCTATCCATCCATTTTCTAACAGCTTTATCCAGACCAGGGATCGAGCCTATTGTGGCCAGCAACAGGCCCAGGGCAGGGTACACCCTGGATGGGACGTCAGTCCATCTCAGAGTTGACACACAAACACAGGCACGCACACACTCACACTCACACTGGGGCCAGTTTTCCCAGAAGCCAACGGATCTACCAGCACATCTTTGGACTGTGGGAGGAAAACGGAGCACCTGGAAGAAATGCATGCGAACACAGGGAAGAACATGCAAACTCCACACAGATAGCACAGAACTGAGCCCAGCGCCCCAGCACTGCGAGGCAGCAATAGTAACCCCTGCGCCACCGTGCCGCCCCCACTGCAGATGTGTGAGACAGAAACAGACAGACAGGCCGAGAGACAGTATAGACAGTCGGACGTAAACAGCTGTCATGTATGATTCAGTTTCAGCTGTATGGTATCACAGGAATTTTGAACGTAACGTGTTGGGCAGGACCTCCTCTTCAGTGAAAAATACAGGATGCAAACTGTTCCCCTCCAGAACACAGACATTTATTCACCAGCAGCAATATCACTTAACAAGCTCTGCAGGGACAGC